CTCTCTGCCTCCCTGATGCTGATGCAGACGTGGTCGCGGTGTGAGCCTATGACAGTACACACTGTGCACACACACACCGCACACTGCCGACAGTAGATACGGTTGATCTCTTGGTGCTCATGACACCTCCAGGAAGAATGTCGTCCATGGGAGGAACCAGGGTGTGATTCTGGAAGACAGGGGAGTCCAGATGGGGTCGCAGGTGCTCCTTACACATGGAAGCACCACACACCAGACAGGTCTTCACAGCGGACTGATACCCAGTTTTTGGGCAATAATGGCAGCGCACAGGGCCAGTATTTCTGCTCTCCAACTTGGGTAAGACGCCAACCCAACCTGGAGATCCCGGAGCAGTTGCAGGATGTTTTGCAAATACTGGAGACAATTTGCTGACATTTTTCTCCAGAGGCTTTTCTTTACTGGAGTTGAGACCCCAGGGAAGGAATCAGAGTTGACAGGTTTCTTTGGATATGCTTGAATTCCTGTCACATGTGTGTCTTTCTGAGGAGTTGCAAGAGGTGAATCACATACATCTAGCTCGTTGGAGGTGTCAGAGTCATCTAATACGATTTCTTCTTCTGGTTTATGCTTGTTCTGCAGTATTGGGGTGTGAAGTGAAGGCCCTCCCTTGCTGTCAGAGTTGACACTTGAAGATGTCCCATCCCCCTGCTCAGACTGTGAAGATACAGGCCACACTGCCTTCTTGGATCTTGCTACATCAGTTTCACCAGAAGAGGAAGTAGAGGGAGTCTCTGTGTCGTTGCGAAACTCACGGGGAGCTTCCACAGTGGATCGCTTTGTGTCAGGTTGCTCTGGTGCAGGGGTGCTGGCCTTTCTCTTCCCAAGGAGTCGGCTGGTGATTGAGGGCCTCCCCAGTAGTGAGCTGAATGTGTTCTGGTCATCATTACTGGATGAGCCTTACAAAAAAAAAAAAAAAAGAACACAAACATAAAAAAAACTTGTCAGTGCAGGAAGGTGGACTTTGCAGTATTGAGACAATAATTCAAACAACCTCAAGCTGCACTTTGTCCAGCATGTTTACACTCGGCTGTAAATTCAGACTGAAAGTGAAGCATGTCACGAACTAGCTTTGTGATTTGTTGAAATTGCATTTCTCTGATCCACTCAATAAGGTCATTGGAAGCATATATTTAGCTCTCAGATTAGATTTTCCTAACACCGGATGGGCCTGGATAAAATGGCATTTTCAATTGATATTAGCCATATTAACTCTATTTTTTTTTTTTTTATTACTTTATTATTATGGTAAATTAAATTTAAAAAAAATACCAAAAGGTTACAAAGTAAGTAGAAACCAAATGACGATATTGAAATGTTTATATCCTGCTTAAATACATCACGTCACAACGTCACTTTTGACCCCCGTCATAAGGTTACAAAGCCAGCGTTAGTTTACCAGGTAATAATAAAAATAAAATAATAATAATAATAATAATAATAATAACAATAATAATAATAATAATAAAAATAATAATAATAATAATGTTTCGAGTTACCTGCTGTGCTGCGAGGTTTGGCTCGTCGGCTGCTGTTTGGTGTCAAACTGTCCTGAAACGGAAGAGTCTGATACACAGTTTTACACCTCCACTCCGGACAGTGGTACGGCCCGTTCGGGGTTACACTCCACAAATCACCGATACATCGCTGGCAGAACTGGTGGTTACATTTCAGAGTGACCGGTTCCCCCGTCAGCTCGTTGCAGAGAGGACACCTGGCCGGGGTGTCCAACGATGCCCCCATTTTGTTTTTTTTTTGTTTTTTTCTGGCTGATGTTTGGTGTCTGTTTCCGGGCGGCGGAGGGGAAGGCGGGGCTTCATGTTTGAATCTTGCTCCACCTCCCAGCAGAGCTTGTTCTTAAAGGTACATGTGCCTGGTAAGTAATGAGATAATATGGGCCTACCAAAAGTCAAAAACCACTCTTCAAAGCTTTCTTCCGGAAAAAGACCGAATTGTAGCCTACTTAAAGTATTCCAAAAGTAGGCTGCTATACTTTATTTGTTTTGCGTTAAGTTTTTTTTTTTTTTACACTGGTGGTGTTTTTACCATAGATGGTCACAGCAAGGGCCACATTAATTTAATTCTCACTGCCAGAGGGCCAAATTGTAGAATACAAAAAACGATTACAGTCAATTATGTCTCAAATTTATCGCAACATATACCAGTGATCAAATATTATTATGGACATATTTCTGGTTTTCATGATTTCCTGGCAGATTTTGTCATGTTTTCTTCATGTTTCCAATTAATTGATATGTCAAATTTGACCTGAGGGCCACATTTAGGGTTGATGGGGGGGCCGCATGTGGCCCACCCCTGGTCTAGATAATGCAGGTGCCAGAATTTTCACAGCTGGGGGAGGCCCTTACAGTCTATCTCAGTCTATACCATAGACTGTAAAAAAGAAGTCTATACAGTCTCTGTGTTGTTCTTTTGTCACCAGTTTTGGATAGGATTATTAGAGCCTGGGCGTGGCTCTGCTCTACCTTTAAATAGGCTACCTTAACCACCGTCAGGGACAGAGGGGGTCCCCAGTCTCTGGCACCCTTATTTTGGGGGCTGCGAGCTGAAAAGTTTGCGAAACCCGGCACTACACAACAGCTTCATAAGCATTCAGCCCCTATGAAGCTACAGGCCTACTTTAACCAGAAAGACACTAAATGCTGATATTAACTTGTCATATGGTCATTATGGTTATACATTTAAACAGCTGTGACGACCCCGGCTATGTGTGCATGCTGTTCTTTTCCTTTTCAGAGCGTTGGCTTCCTCTGGTGGTCAGTTATGGTTCGCCTACTGGTTACTCTGGAGACCCAGAGTGATTGCGGATTGGCTTTACCTGAGTGGAGGGCATATATGGCAGGCTTTCACAGGTTTCTTATCTCTCTCTCTCTGGACAGCCAAGGCAGAGAAACTTCTGCCATGATTTTTTGTCTCTTTTTCATTAGAATTATAACCTCAAAACTCAAAAGCAAGTTTACTGTGTGTATGGAATAACACAGCGATGGGGTAGGCTACATTTTTAGCTAATGGTATATGTTAACTAGGAAGTGGCTATATGCTGACACAATCTGTTGCTTTTAGCTAATGAATTAGATATGTTGATTTATAAGGAAATAGTCTCAAAATTACCTCTTTCCATCCTCTACAGCCGTTTTTCCACTAAAGGAAACGTTTAGTTAAAAGTGCTTCTTTTCAAGGAACTAAAAGGTTCCTGTGGCCCATAGTTGTCAGGATTTCTACCACTGCCTGAAGTCCCTGGAAGATTATACAAATCAGGCTAAGCAAAGACTCACCCCTGACACACTTTGTCTTATACACTAATGAAACACGAGTTCAGATACATTTTAGATAGGGAAAATAAGCGTATAGAAGTAGGTCATCGCTTTCAGAACACTTGGGTTGGGGCTGGCCTATAAGTCACACAAACGAGGAAACAATAAAAGATATTCAAAGAGTATGTTTATTATATAATATAAAAGTCATTTTCTGTGATGTGCATACCCTTAAGTTTAAAACTACCTGGTAATGTTCATACTTTGTTGTGGTCAAAGCTTGTGCAATGGTAGTGTCTATACAGAGAATTGGATGTGCCGTCATCATAGGACAAACACAAACTGGGATTCTCTTTGTACTTTGCCAACAGAGTTATCTGGAGCTGTAATGTTAAAGAACAGGCTGGGAAGCATGCTAATTGTGAAAACTGATGGGTAATGCCAAAAAGCAACTCAGTTAAGAGTGTTTTTGAAGCATAACGAGCATAAGTATGAGTGCCATCTGTTCTGTAAGCCTATTTAACTTTTTTTTATTGGTTAATTAGATTTGCACTTTTCACCACAAAAATATGAAAATTCTCAAATAGTTCCACGGATCAACTTGAATGAGTATAACTATTCATTCACCTCTTCCCTTTTCTAAAATAGCTTCATTAAGTACAGTGGCAGTCGAAATAAGGTCAATAATCATTAAAAGGAATTCCTACATTCACTAATTTTAAGTTAAAACTTTACATTTAACCTACCACTGAATCTAAAGTAAATGCATGCCTTTATTCTCCATCACCCCCTGTACTTATGGGGACAATGAACCACACACAACCACACAAATGATGAAAACATTGAAACACAGAAATTGGATTTTGCCATTATGAACTTAAGCATCAATTGTGTTATTGTCACACTCACAACATTCCTGTCTTTAAGGTGGTCTTTACATGTGACTTGGATATAGCCGATATTCTGACATGTGAGTCAGAGGTTAATCTTTCATAATCTCAAAGACATGCTATCTCTCAAAGAAACTGTGTTCTCTTACTTGTGTTGCATGAAAATATGAGCATAGTGGCCCGTCACAAGACAGCTTTATTTAAACCATGTGCCCTTTAAATGCAAGAATGAAAATAATGAACCTGCATCAAAATGAAAATAAATGAATCATTTAAATACGTTGTTTTAAATATTTTAAAAATGATTTTTGAACACAAAGCACACTTTTCTCCTCTATAAGCCACAGTTTTAAATAAACCCTTTCAAACTATTCTGAATTTGGTAACATCCAATGATCCTACAAGTGCTCTTGTGATAAAAATAATTTACTTTTGTTATCGACTGTATGTATTTAAAATGTAAAAAATTGTGTTTTCCCAGCCTTCTTCTCCCTTCTTTCATTCTTTTGACCAAATATGGTCACTTCTTCTCAAATAATCATATTTGCAACAATGCCAAACTACATGCAGAGACTTGAAAACAGCAGTCGACTCGACACACTGATGTGTGACATCACAGTCGCCATGTGCACTTTTATTTTATAGGCTGAACAACTTTTTTTTTTTTAAAGATTTTTTTTGGGGCTTTTGTGCCTTTAATGCAGAGATAGGACAGTGGATAGAGTCGGAAACCAGGGAGAGAGAGTGGGGAACGACATGCGGAAAGAGGCCACGGGTGGAGGCAAACCCGGGCATCCTGCTCGAGACGACAACCTCAATACATGGGGCGCGCGCCCTAACCATTGCGCCACCAGCGCGCCCCCAGCTGAACAACTTTTAACTTTATGCCTGATTTCTGTCAAAATGAAAACAACATGACAAAAGCATTTTTACAGTGAAAATCTTTATTAAGTGTCATATATCTTTAAAGGAATATCTTAAATTGCTCTAAGTTAATTCTCCTCTGTATTTTAAACTGTTTTGAATCTATAGAATATTTATTTACACATGAATATATCCACAGATGAGGCCGGGACATGCTTTACCGATCCAATACAACAGCCTCCCTCCTCAGTCAAACTGATCATTATAGATACCACGTCATGAGTCTACCCTGTATGTCCCAACAAAACAAAGAGAGAAAGGAAGTCAAAGAAGCAAACACACAGACGGATTGATTTATGTATACAAGTGTGTGTGTGAGGCCGGCATATCTGTTCTCTATAGCCCAACGAACTAATGCAGGCAACACATTCAAACCCTCACATATGTGCAGAAACTCACACGCGCACACACTTTCCAACACGCACACACATACTGTAGCACATCCACACAGCAGCTACGAGTCCTGCAGCACTCAGTCCTAATAGCCCCCATCACAGTGTAGATAGATCCCACAGACTATAAAATATTGATTTCTTCTCAAACTGAAGTGCTGTGCAAAGTTAGCTAGCAGGCTGTTGAATGGATTTAGTTAAAATTCCTAGAACATTTTTAATATTTACTGTACATACTTTGTAATACAAGCTTTGTCCTCTTTCGGGTGATAATATTTTATAAAACAGTGTTAAATATATTTTGTACTTGTAAATGAAGAGGAACAAACAGAGCGTATGGGCAAAAAAGAAACTAAGACTTTCATTTCATTGTCAGACGTTACATATGAAACACAATAGATTTACATTAACCTGATATAATCTGAAAATGAGCAGTTTCTTCTTTTCACAAATAAAACGTACATGACACACATTCTGACGGTGGTACACACGGCTAAGTGTTAACATAGTTTAATATTTGTAATTACAGAGTTTTTTGATGACATTTTTTGTCTGAATGTAATGCATGTGTAGGCTATGTGTTTAGGGTTGTGTTTGTGCATGTGAGTGCATTTGAATGTGTGTGTGTGTGTGTGTTTGTGTGAGTGTGTGTTTGTGTGCTCGTACTGCAGGTATATGATGTCATCCCTGTGCCTTCTCAGGTAGGTAGTGGGTAGTGGGTGGTCCATATTCTTGAAAACAGTCTCTGCCCCTGTTATAGTGTATGACATGTAGTGCAAGGTGGGGGGGGTGGGGGGGGGGAGAGAAAGATAAAAGTGCATTGGGCTCCGTCAAAGTGCTGGAGATGATGAAGGGACTGCAAGCAAGATGGCTGGACCTGAAGGGAAGGTTACACTGGGTTTTTTGGGAGATGTGAAAGGCAGGCTGGCTGGTTCCATGGTACTCTTCTTCTTCACAGGCATGAATGCCTCCCTTCTCTTAGCTGACAGGAGGACAGGTACTTTATGACAATGGACACATGGGGTTTGGGAACCTGAAGAAGAAGGAAACAATAAGAAAAAAAGAGCCGATACTCATTTGTGCTGTGAATGCAAAAATGCAACTGTATTAAGAGCAATATTCAGGTCCAGGTTATTTAGTATTTCCATATGATACTATGTTGTACTTTGAACTCTTACTACAGATCAAAGGTAAATAATGCACATTGAACACCAATACATAATTTATTTTCTTTGTTGTATGTTTTTACACAACACAACACATGATCATTTTACGGAGTACATTACTAAACTAGTTAGTTCACAGGTGTAATGGACTGTGAATCCCCCACTCCCCTTTTTGGGGTCACATTTCACATGCCAAAGGGGTTGGTAGATCCACCAAAGACTCTCCCTCTTTTGACCCTTTCTATCTTAAGAAAGGGTCCAATAATTTGGGAAAAAGTCTCTACTATAATGCAAAAAATGTGTGGTAAAAACAACGTCCTTTCTCTTTTACCTTCTTAATTAATATTTTCTGAGATTTCTGCTGAGAGGATCTGACTGACGAGTAAAACGCAGTGTTCCTTTGTTTTACTGTTACGCTGCAGATGGCAGTCAAATATTTAAGACCATTATGCAAGGCCTTCATAACGGTCGTCTTCTATTCAACATATATCATTTATTATGCATCTCTTGTCCTTACCTAAAGATTTGGTTAGGCGTTGCCTCCCTCTGCAAAAACAAAAACACAGAGACAAATATGAAAACAAATGCAACAACACAATTTTCAAGGTCATGCTATTAATAGACTCCTGTGTTCACACATTGCCAAACACAAGCATCCTTCAAAAAAGGCTGGTTGTGTGGCATATAATCACCAGTAGATGGCACCAGAGATGAGCTAAAAATGAAAAGTCTCTCTAGCTGTAATAATGTCATGAATTATTCATAAATGATACGTTCTCAGCGCCCTGAACTGAGGAAAGGCATTTCATCAGACTGCACAATGAGGCTGTTTATTGACCTGTGCTGCTGCTGATAATCCCATTCAAGTTTTCTCTTTTATGACATTGTCAATCCATTGCTCTTTCATCTTGTCCTTTTTATCTCACATTTGCTACTCCAATGTCATCAGAGTTATGTTGAAAACGTCACATAACTCTGAGAATGACTCTGTAGACGACAGCAACAGCTACAATCACAGATGGTTAAAAGTGGCACCATGGTGATAATAAAAATGTGTTTCTCTTCAAAGAAAGTGGCTTTCCTTTGGTACATAATGCCAATTTAAAATATAAGACTTATTATTTTCTCTCCTTCATTCTCATTCTTTCTTTCAGGCGTTGTTTTAAGGGTCATCCATGCTTGTCTGGTTCAGTTACAAACTACAGGTCATGGACATAGTTTTTCCATTTCCCACTGGGAGACATGCCTCAATCCCAAGCCTTTAATGGTAAATCACTGTAGACCTGTGGCAGTGATGCACTATTACTTATTCATGGACACCTGTGCAAAGGGCTGGGGCTTTTCCATGACTAAAACAAACACATTCCCTGAATCTTTATGACAGGCCTTTCACATTTCAGTTGTCCTTGGATCATTGCACAGTCATAGTAGAGTGTGAAGCAGATCTGTGAAGTGCAGGAATGATACTGATAGATAATATTTTAATGCGTTTTCACCTTATAGTGGGATTGCACCTTGTCTGGAAATCAAATTCTCACACTTACCAAATGTACAACATGTGAACGCATCATGACCACCCACTTTACATCAACCCTTTAGTCTGCTATGATTTGTTTAAGGCTAGCCCCAATTTTGCATCGTCACATTTAAAATACTGGACAGTAACTGTAAAAGATTATGCACTTGAAAATGACAATTGATTAGTATAACTTCAGATGAAGATTGTAATACCATTTTTATTTGTAAAGGGGGAAAATGGGCTTATTAGGGGTTAAAATTAAGTCTACGTGCTGCTCATAAATGGCAGCTGGTTATTGTAGTACATCAAACATAACCCTGAAGCAGTCGTTATGGTTGTGTGCCAATTCATCTGAAGCTTCCTAAATTAAGTTGTGTTGTGTTTTTTGGAGCCTGCATCAAAAGCTCATTACGTCAGCAACTTTGGCTTTAGGCACTCTGAAAGTGATCCTTTCACGAATTCAGCTCATTTAATGTGTTTGCCAGACCAGGGAATGTTTTATCACAACCCTAATGAGTGCACACTTTCTATTTTTAGTCCGGCTCAAAGTGGTGATAAAAGAGGAGGATGTTGCTAAAGGAAGTAAAACGTATTCTCATTCTCTTTAAGTGCATGCTTCTGCCAGTCCAGTAATGTGCATACTGTATTGACAGTGCAACTGTTACAACTCAACAAGAATAAGAATGGTTAAAAAAAAAAAAAAGTGACAATGATTTTACAATTCAAGTTTGATTGTTTTTCTTAACATGTGATTTCTGTGAAGAATTTGACAAACCCAAAAGGAATCACATAAAGTTCCTCAGTAAGCGAGGTGTTAAGATAGGTCTGTGAAGATAATAAATCCCAGCATGCTCTCTGAGGGCTGCTCTGACCCGGGCTCTGACTTCCAGTGTAAAGTACAAGAGGAGAATAAATTTCCCAGAAGAGATCCATAAAATATAACATTTATCAGACTAGATGGCACAGTCTCACCCTTGCTCTCAGCAAGCAGCTCTTCGGTCATCAGTCCGTCCTGCCGGTTCCCCAGGACGAAGGCCAGGAAGGACAGGATGAGGGCGTCCAGAATACCCATAATCGCCAAGATGTAGGCCCAACGCACTGAGCATGCTCCCAGGCTGTATTTGTCCGTCTGCTCACCGCACATCCGCCTCACCTCTTCGCTGTCCCACCCATCAGGATAGATCATACAGCCCAGCACCAGACACACACCTAGAGAACGAGAGAAAGAAGGGCAAGAGGGTTGTTCAAATTAGGAGGGAGCATGGATGACCAATAATGATCTGGGGAAGAGTGTAGTGTTGCAAAGGAGGTCAGGGGTTATGAGAATTTGGGGGGGGGATGGAAGATAAGGAAGAGGAATGATTGAGTCAAGAGCTTCAGTCTCTTGTTGCTGTTTTATAACAATTGTCACATTTTAATTTTTTCCCATATAAGCAGGAAGGAAATGTTAAGACACAATGAGTGACAGTGGTTTGGCAGTAAAAACTGTAACAAACAACCATTGCAAGATTGAGACGCACCATCAGCAACTGTGTAGTAACAGCTCTGATAATATGACCTGTCCCAAAAAAAACATCCTTGTATTTCCTCCCATTCACATATATTTTGCTTGTCTCCCGCTTAGATTTTAAATAGTGCTAATGTCATTATACCAGCTCCCGCTCGGGGGTTAAGTCCCCCTCATCTTCGTGTTTGATCTCTCTCATCTTCGGTTTAAAAGAGATTCTTCTCTGAGGGGATGCTGCGGCAAAAAAAAAGCACAAGCAAAACCAAAGCCCATTTTTTCCCCTCTCTTTGGATTTCAACAAAGCACTCCTCATTCTCAGCTTTTGCTCAAGGGGGAATATTCTCTCTCATCTTCAATTTGGATGAAGTTCTGCTCGGAGTTGGTGCTGTAGTAGAGCAGCATTAAGAAAGAAGCTGACTGCACAGTAATCCAGAGAGCATTGCACATTAATAATAAAACATTCTCCCCACTTATTTATCCCCAAAACACATGGGTTTATTTTGCAATGCAAGCATGCAATCTGCATTTTTAAGGTCTTGTGTGCTACTTTTATAATAACATATTCAACACATAATTTGAGTGATAGTGTCCTTATTTGATTTTTTCTATAGTCTTCTTGTATGCATACACAGGCTGCCCACATAAGCAACACACTGCAGTTTGTTACAGTAGTGCTGCAGTGCATGTGTAAAATTGCTGGAGACATCAGGAGGGTGTTGAGAGAGGTTTCAGAAAGTGAGTGAGAGGAAGATTACAGAGCAATATCTGCTGCAGACAAACTGCATACCTCACCGTGCAGAGCATCCAGAAGACTCGCTCCCACCCCATGGCTCTTACTGTCATAACAAATTCATGTTCACACGGAGGTTGAAAGAGCAAGGACTCGTGTACTTATTCAGACGGATGGAGGAGCGCTGCGATGGAATTTTCAACTGCAGATGTTTTAATGCTTTTTGTGAAATACAATGTTCCTTTATATGCTTCTAAGTGAGCTATGTGAGCAAAAAAAAAAAAGCAAATCTGCAGAATATACTACTGCAATAACAGATTGAATGACCATAGCTGGTATCCAATTTCCTTTGAAGGCAGCACCTTCGAATAAAGATTCAATTTATTTTCACTCAACCAAGACTCATCTTGGCCTTGACAGGTTGTGATACGGCCTCACAAGATCCTGTGTCGCTCAGCCCACCGCAGCGCTTTATGCAGTAGAGCAGCACAGTCTGTCAAACGTCTTCTAGTACATGATTCAGCTCCTGAGTGAGCATCACTGAGGGCTTGACAAAACATCGTGATGAGTGAGGGAGCAGACAGTGAACAGGTCAACTTCTACCTGCATCAGTCTGTCTGCTGCCTCTTCACCTATTGCTAACAATTCTCTGATGTCAAACTTATTGACACATAAACAAACACAGTGGTTGACTTTGGAGTGCTGCTGAATCAAACCACCTTTAAATATTTGCTTTAAAGTGAAATAGGGAAAATATCCCTGACTCTATTTAAGGAAATGCAAGGTGTTTGAAAAACAGATGAGGTTAAAGAAACGGTTGTGACAACTCAAGAAGAGGTTTGATTCAGTCAGTAGAAGAAAGAAGACCATCCGCTAACAAAAACTAATAGTGGCTATTGAATAGCTTTTTAGTGTAGCGTGCACTGATGTTGTTTTGGTTTTATAGACCCTAACTTTAAGTCACATTTGGTAAGTCTCTATTTTAACAAAAGACTGTAAATAAGGAGTGGATGAAGTTTAAATTGTGGTTTTAAAAGACAAGGCAAACGCTCCTTCATACTGCATTATTTCTAATGACCACCAGGGGGGAAACACCACTAGTTGCAAAAACACGCCAGATTGTATGAAACCAGACGCTGGTAAGTGATTTTATTAACTTAAAAAAACATTTCCAAATAATTATCAGCCATAAAATTATGACCAGCTGCCAATATTGAGTAGGTCCCCTTTTTGCCAACATAACATCCCTGACCCGTCATTGCACGGTGTGTCTTTCTAACAGAACCAGCATTAACATTTTCAACAATTTGAGCTCCATTAGTTCTACTTGATTTGACCACATGGGCCAGTCCCCCCCCGGTTGCCGGTTCAACGGTGATTAATCAGGATATGCTATGAGGATTAGCAACCTTTGTATGACTTGTTGTTACAACAGTAAACCTCATAATCAGGATAAACACGTAACGATGTACATCCAACATTCAACTACGGTTATTCCATGTTCTAAAAAAACCCAAAAAGGTCACGTCCTAAATTTTGAGCTCAAGCCTCAAAATGGGCTTCACAAACCAATTTATGATGTCACATTGGCTACATCCGCTTGAATCGATGCTTTTAACTTGCCATAATTGTATTTTTATTTTAATCAGTTGAAATTATGATTTAATTTAATATGATTACATTCATTTGGATTTTGGTCATCACCAACTCCCCAGGGAAATATTGGTGTAGTTATTCCCCTTTGACTAATGGAACAGGCTTTTAAGAAAGTTCTTTCAAGATTTTCTGCTGAAAACAGTGATCTGCTGTGGCTGAAAATGTAACTTTGAGACGATTAGAATAATTCCAAACAGTTACGTTATTGGGCAAGACGGGTAAACATCCAGCTGAAAGTCACTGTAAAGCTATATTAAGCATAAGTGATAATTCCCTGTAGGCTCATCACTTTATAGTATAGAGTTTAAAAAGATCCAAAACTAAAGAGGATGCTGCCTAGAAAGAGCAACAGACAAGTAGTAAAATGTATATGAAATTGAAAAATACAAAGCTTTTTACAAATATAATATGACAATAGAAGTGCCCTCTGCATCTGCTCTTTTAGAGAGCTGCATGTGGTGCTGAAAAGATGAACTCATCGGTCATCTGTCATGTTATCTGGTGACCTGAGGGTGAAGCTGTGCGTGCATCCTCTGGGTGTCCCTGCATTTGGGAATTTGGGGAATGGGCAATCATGAATAGATCTGCACTGGCATCAATAACATTTTCACTTCGGAACAAAAAAGAATGGATCAGCATGAATGCTGTGTATATCATGGAGGTTTATGTAACAGCTTTCACTTCACAGAGGGAGTGACACAGAGGACCAAATAACATTTTCCACCCATTTCTCCCCTCTCTCCCTCACGATGCATTTACTACAAAGACAACAAAAGCTTTTCCAGATCCTTCTGGGTGTCTCCTGCACGCCTTTGGCTGAATTCAGCAGCGTCATGAATATTACATAGAGCTTCGGGAGGGGAGAGAGAGAGAGAGACTGAGGATGCAGGAAAAAGACGAATAAATGAGGTGTACACCGACAAAAGCTGATATCATCAGGGGAGGGATACCAAAAGAGAACAAGAGATACAAGAGCAGTAAGATATCTGTCCCAGTCACTACTGATATGTCTACCCCAAAGCATGCCACTGCACTTGTTTTTCTCTGAGGAATGCACCAGCAAGGATTAAACCAACAGAGGGTGCCACATATGCCTCTCTCCTGTTTCCAGAAGCAGCTTGTGGTTTGAGGAGGAGCACATGTCCCCTCCATGCACAGTAACAGAAAGCCTGGTGACAACTAATCCATAACCACACAACATCACAATTCAACAGGCTCATCACTGCATCCCCTTACATAATGAGGAGCTTAATCCAAATTCACTGCGTACACAGTCAGTGTGTGCCCGTGTCAGTAACAGAAAAGAAGGGTTCACATGGTGCATGAAGACAGGTTGTTGAACATTTCCTGAACATTTTTGGCTTATGTGCAAGATGAATTCATTTAAAATAAGGAAAACTGTCACCAGAAAAGTTAAGTATGACACTAAAATTGATAATACGTTCATATATATTTTGTTTTATGTTGATTAGCTCACTCATCTCATTTACTCAACTGACTGTGAATTTCTGTTGAAAATCCCTATCAATTGAAAATCTTTGTGACAAAATCTCTGAGGTCATCGACACTGAAAAAAACATGATTGGCTTCTTTCATTTTTTCTTAAATTTGATGAACATAACAGTGAATAGGTTGTTCAAAGACTCAGATGAAGATACAACTGTAGACAAAAAACAGTAAGTATCTTTTATAGTTTCAATAGGAAAATATATATAAGATGCTGGTAATTAAGTCCCACAATATGGTTAATTTATAAGCAGCATAAAAAAAGTTAATAAAGGTTAATACTAATCAATATTGTGGATGTAGGCAGATACATGTATTTATTCATGAATTTCTTAAATGTCTACAACTTCTTGTTAGGATACCATCAGTGGAGGCCTCTATTAACTGATAAGTTAGGATAATCAAGGCACATGCTTCTGATATTATATGAAATATGCATTAAGAGAAGTTATAATTTGACAAAAAAATAAATATCTATAAATATTTGAATGACCTTATAGCTGCTTAAGACTGCAAAATTGTGTGTTAAAAATAATTTATAAACATTTGATATAGTCCTTGGAAATGCTTAATAGAAGGACTTACAGAAGAGTGTATCCCACAAAAACATGATCACTTTATCTGTGTCTGCTGGCTTCACTCACTCACACTGCAATGGAGCAGAACCTCCTGTAGCAGTAACAACTGCTCCGCTCCTCCGAATGTCGGCTGCAGAAATAGCAGCACACCTGACAGAATGCAGCTGTCAGTCGGAGCAGAGACCAAATATTAACTGACGGCATTATCCGACCCATTCAGCTTTGCCCTTCT